CAACCGTTGTTGTTGTTGCTGCGGTCTGCAGTCCTGATGCTTTCTAATGCAGCTTTGACTCGGTTCGCCCTGAGAAGTTTTTTCTGGAAGCCAGGTACCTGCACTCGCGGATGAACAGGTAAATCGTTCATACTAGCTAGTTATGACCAATCGTCAGCAGCTACGCAATACTAAGCTCGCGCAATCGAACCCTGTGAACACTAGACACTAGAACATCGTGGTGAATAAAGGACGGGAAAGACGGAACGAGAAAGTTTAGGACTCTTGAGACCCTTGGTCTATGGTTTGGGGAGAGTCGTGGACAGATTCTTGTGCATTCAGACCTTGTGTGCAGCAAGAGGAGCAGCTGTGTCGTGAAGGCGTTTCATGTGGTATAGAGTGGTCTAAAGGATAAGTTGATTGTTTTCATCGGGCAAATCCCTCCAATCTGCCCACCTGCCATTGATAGCGTGGTTGCAGCATTTCATTGGTCCTACCAGAACAATCAAGCTGGATACAGATGAATCCAGACCGTTCAAAAATAGATCTACGACAATTGTAATACCTGATGGCTGTTGGCCAGTGGCGTCAACGTGGACAGCATACAGCGGCTCCGCTAATGTGAGTTGAGAAGGACGAAGAAACTGTACACCCAGCGCAAGTCATGATTTGAACCGCAGACGATAGGGGACCGCCGCCGTTCATTGGTCCAAATCCTCCGACCCCACTGGCTTCCTCATTCCGCGCGTGGCGCACGGGGAAACGCCGTGTTGGATTGGGGATATGAAATGACTGCGCCCTACACCGACTGAGAAGGTGCGACAGGCAGCTGGCACGCGAGGTGACGTATAAGCGGATTCGGAATCCTGTAAAATTGCGTTAAAGTCTTTTCAACCCACCTAAACCTCATTCATACAATCAGGTTACGAACACCAGTGAAATCAAACAAGAGCCCCTTCCAGCTGATGGAATAGCAGTTCACAACGGCATTAGACAAGTCAGCCTGTTGCTGCTTCTTTGGCCACCTTGGCAGGAAACAACACCATCAAGAGTTGCTGGGCTTTGGCCGATCCAGCGTTTGCTAAAGCCCCCAAATGGGGCCTCGGCTTCTCCTTCTGCCGCAAGGACCAGATCTCATCTAAAACTTGCGCACCGCATTGCCCAGCATTTCTGACAATCCCGTGCAGAGTCGAAACAGCATGCTGCTTCGTCACCTCGCTCCCATTTGCAAGCAGCTTGAAAAGCACTTGTAGTCCCGAAACTTCAATGTAGCTCCCATGCCCAATTTGAGGGCAGCCATCAGAGCCAGCAGCACCATCTTCACTAGACCAGTAATTAATTTTGCTGCTTACTAAAGCAGAAAGTCCTGATCGCTCCTCGGATACATTTGCCACTGCATGAATGGCCTTGTCAAAGAATCTTCCTGACTGCTTCGCATACAGATGGCCACTTCTTTGCGTGCCGCACAGTGCCACCTCCAGCAGCAAAGGCACAGCGCCGCGATATGACAGAGCCAACCTCCCAGACTCGCACATTGATAAGAGGTAGAGCGCATACAAGGCGTCCTTCTGTCCCTCCTTGCTGCATGCTGGCTCCCTCAACAGGCCTACCAGCGGCTGCACCACCCACTGATCCACTAAATCTTCTTTCAGCGTTGTTGACTGTGCAAGACTGTGGATAACCGCCACTGCGAGCTCTCGAAGGGGCAGATGCGCGGAGCTGGTGCGGGTGGAGGTGTCGGTCCTGGCGTTACCACCAGAACAGCTGCTGGTGTCATTCTGCTGGGCACTGTTGGGTAAATTATGAGCATTACCACTGGCACCGTCAGGGCAGTCCGGACTGCTGCGTTTGATGTCAGCCAACCTCACAATGGTAGGGATGATGCCATGGCTCCTCATCATGTGCTTGGCGGTCTTATCTAGAGACAGATTCAGCAGCGCGGCAGCTGCCTCCTCGGCAACCTGATACCGCGAATCCATGAACTCCCTTCCTTCCTCCGCTTCTATCACGCTGTCAACAAGCGACAAGAGCACTTTCGCTGCTCCCATTTCAACCATGGGGGCGCATACCGCCGCGTCGCGAGCCATAACTTTAACCTCCCGCGCGCCGGCGAGCTGCCGGGAGAGCACGCACGTTTCCGACTCGCCGGGTTGCGGGGCGGAGTAGCAGTTCCGCAGAGCCTGGGGAAACTGCGGCGGGTATTGGGTCAGCGTCGAACCCGCGGCTTCTGAAGCCCCACGCCCGGAAGGAGCGGCAGATGCGGGAGCAACGCCGGCAAGGTGGCTCCGCTGCGGGTGATACGGAGCAGGATGCGCGGGACTTTTGACTGTCTGGAGAACAGGAGGAACGGAAGCCGCTGATTCCACTGACCGCACCGTCCAAGAAGGTTCCGCGCGGACGGCAGGGTCTGTATGGTAACCTTCCGACGATACACTGGAAGCATCCTCGGAGATTCGTCGCGCGATTCTGTCCTTCCCTGAGCCGTCCTGTTTCCGATGCCGGTGCTTGTGGGAGTGCCGGTGCCTCTCGCTCAGCTGGTCGAATGTGGGAAGGCTGTTCAGTGGGCTGTTGCCAAACAGATGATGCTGTGGTGAAGGACTGTTGGCGAAGAGATGGTGCTGTGGCGAAGGGCTGTTGGCGAAGTTCTGGTGCTGCGGCGACATCCACTGCTCCATCGCGGCTCGGTTGACATGCGACGGGTGTCCTGCTGAAGGGTGGAGTGGCGAGGGGCCGACTGACGAAGGGTGGCCTGGCGAAGGTCGGATATGCATCCTATGTAGGTTATCCTCAATCCCCGCGATCCTATTATCCATGGGTTCAAGTGAGTTGGCCCTCATGGCTCGTTGCAACGAGCAGGGCTTGAAAATAGAGAACTGGAAAAGTGGAAAAAGGAATTGGGCCTTTTTGACAGCGCTCTTACTCGACCTTGACACTCAAGACGAGATAAGTGCGAAATAGGAAGACAGTCTAGATACGGAACTCTGGGAGGTGGGTAGGTGGGAAATGGGGAGGGGTGAACGCGGCACGATAGGATGGAAACGACGGCAGTGGATCGTGATGCCGAATTTGAAGCGTTTGGGCTTTGCTAGCTACTGCGTTGGCTTTGAAACTGAGTATGCTGGAGGGAAATATCAACCATGGAGGTGAGAGAGGTAAGGAAGGAGAAGGGATGGGGGAGGGGACGGCAGAAGCGGAAAAGATCGGGAAAGATGCCGAAGGTGGGGGGAAGGGGGACTTTGTTCGGAAGGATTTCTCTGTTTGGGAAACGTAGCGAAATGCGCGTGGTGGAGTGAGCTGTAGGGGATGAAGATGACGACGGTTTTGAGCCGTTCGCTGCACGCGATCGAACGTGAGCGGTTCATGTCGTGGGTCGTGTCGTTACACGCTTGGTGTGATGTGATGGTAGCGAGTGTGATGGAATGTGAACACGCATGACTTTTATGGGAATGGGTGCGATTCAATGGGGAATTGGAACAAAACTATTAGCGATTGTTGTACAAAAACCGTTTACATTTTCTGGGGTTAGTCAATATACAATGTGGAGTCACTCACACCCTATATCGATCCAGGCGCGCCGCCAACACGGGACTCTCGGGGTTGGTTGTGTGACGACCTTCAATCTCAACAAGTCCCAGCAATTCCACATAACTGCTTGTTCTACCTTCAATCTCGACATTTGACTCGGCTTCATCACCTCATACCTTCAACATCGCCTTAGTTGCTATGGATACCACTGCCAGCCACGAGGTGTGTACGCGAAGTACATCCATTACGAATGGATTCTGTATTCTAAATCGTTCATGCCATTCATGCAGCGCGACAATGATGTGGAACCAATGCTGAAGAGGCAAAGAGAAGATTCTTCTCAAAAGACGGACACGCAGGATGATACTGCTGGACAGCCAGATTCGCGTGAAGCACGAGATGGAGAGCCTAGTCCTGCAGTGGCGGGAGCTCACAAAAGAATAGAAGAATTCACACAAAAGGTTTTTTTGACTCTCAGCGTTGCTTCGCATTGAAAAGCTCAAGCTGACGCGTTCTTTTTGTTGTCAGCTTTGCGCAATTCTTGATGCTGGGAAACAAGCTCTGTCCGCCGCTCACGCAGCATGGGAGGAGCAGCTCGTTCAGTAAGTCGAGGAATCAGACACTAGATTCTGTTTGGCTGCAGATCCGTCCTATTGTATTCACCATTGTGCGTCGCAGGATTCATGAAAATCAAGTTGCAATTTGGCAACGCCAACTCGAAGAAATCAAGGAATTGGAGTCCATGAATGATGAAATTGGAACAAGGCTCCGGTCGGCACAAGATGTCTTCGACCGTCTGCAGCCAGCTATTGCGGAAAGACATCTTGAAGAATGAGTGCATCCAGACTGAGTTCGGGAACGGAAAGTCGCAACCCATATATCTATTACAATTTTTATGGTACAGCGCGTGACACTTACATGTCCATCAGCAGACGCACATCATCCATCCGAAGTAGTTGCTTATCTTCAGCGGATCTACGTTCAAAGGCAGCACGTGCAATTGCTCTTTTTCTCTCCTGAAGCACCAGCATTCGTTCTTCTATGCTGTCAGCAGCAACCATTCTCACGACATCCACCGGATTTTCCTGCACATGAAAGCAGCACAGTAGCACAAAATTCAATGTTGACTGTATACGTGTCAGCTTGTCCAAATTTTAAAGCGACGGGCAACTTTTGGCAGTGTTGGGTTCAGAAGTTTTTTTTTTGAACCAGGCTTGCCAGCGCGAAAGTGCTGGCTGGCGAAAACCAGGATTTCGTGCGGACACTTTCCATCCGCAGTAACAGTTCGCCAGGGTTCTGGGTTTTGGGTGGCAAATGTGCACCGTCGCTTTAAGCATCACCAACCCCCATACTGTACCTGTCCAATGCGATGGACTCGGTCCATTGCTTGTTGCTCCACAGCAGGGTTCCACCAAGGTTCAAGCAGAAACACACGTGATGCAGCTGTAAGGTTCAGACCCACACCTGCCAACGACCAACATCAACAAATGTAGAAGCTAAGACCAAGTGGACTGCAGAAACGGACATACAAAACAATAATCGCTAGGAACATGTGCACTCTCACCTGCTGCTCTGAGCCCCACAAGGAGAACTGTAGGAGAATCGTCATCCACTCGGTTGAACTCTGCAATAGCCTTCTCCCTCACACTTAGCTTGGTGCGGCCATCCAATCTACAGCACTTGAATCCTGCAGCCTGTAACCTCTCATACACCAAATCCAGCATTCGAGTGAACTGAGAAAACCCAACACTCTTAACCCTCTGCTGCTGACGCCCATCACCTCCTCCCATTGCACTAGGCCCTGCAATAGCAGCTCCACCCTCTGGAGGTTGGTACCCTGGTGGCACCTGAAGAGGCTCACGGAGAGCAGCAATAAGGGCATCAATCTTGGCACTTGTATTCCCCTCAACCCCTTCCATCAAGCCCCCCTTGGATAGCGCCACCACCCTCTCCTTCTGCAGCATCAGGTGGAGCCTCCACCAGATGAGCCTCATCTACTGGCGCTCTGCACATGGGGCGGGCATGCTTCTGGATGGATAAAACCCGGCGAATGCAGCGGCGGCAGAAGATGTGAGAGCAGGGTGTGATGACAGGAAGAGTGGGAGGAGAGAGGCAGATGGGACAGTCCTCGTCGGCTGCTCCTGCTGCCAGAAGTTCCTGAAGCTTCTGACTCAGAAGGGGATCCAAAGGAACTGCAGCTGAAGAAATGCGGTGAGTTGGGAAGAAGGAAACACAGATTGAAATAAGAATGGCCAAGAAACGAGCATCTCGCACAATTGTCAACATACAAACCCCCAATTCAGAACTCCTCATTATGGTTTATATTCTTGCGCACCTTTTGCATCCTGGTTTCTGTCTGCTTCTTCTGCTGCAGCAGCAGACGCAGCAATGGCCTCAAGAACGTGCGGCGGACAGAGGCCCTTGTGGTCTGCGATCTGTCTGAGCCGTAGGATCATCTCGAGCACTGTAGCATAGTTCTTCATCAACGTACCCTGTGCCATCATGCCACCCACAAGGCGCCGCACCTCCTCCTGCACTCTGGGAGACAACAATGAGGGTGGGTGTAGTGGAGGGGTGAGGTAGCAAAAATATCGAGAGTATGGTGTTAACAGTACAAAGCAACGGGTGAGTGAACGGTGATACATGTGTGCAAGTGATACATGTACAAGTGACTCATGTGCGATCACAAGTGCAGTGACTCGTGTGCAATTACAAGTGAACAGTCACACCAAAGGGCTATCCTCATTGGTCGTGGAAATCTCGATTCTCTGACAGCATGTCGACTGGGAGCACTCACACAGGCTCCAAAAAAACAAACGGTGAACAGTCACTGCCAGCAGCACAGACACCCGTGACCTACACAGCATCCAGCCTAAAAGAAAAGAAAAGAAAAGAAGACGCTCACTGGTCGTAAAGATCCCGATCCTCTGGCAGCAAGTCGACTGGCAGCACTCGTACAGTCTTCGGAGGGAGTGACAGCAGCGGCCGGCCGTTCACCTGCATGTCCTTGGTGCGCCTTAGAGCCGTCGTGAGAACCAGTGCCTGTTGGGGTGAGGCAAGAAGGGTGGGAGTAAAAAAGGTGGCCTCTGGAAGATGGATGCGCGCGCGCACACACACACACAACCCAGCCAACCTCTAACCGCACACGAACACCCCCATGCCTCCACTCGAGCATACCCTCAATCTGTCCAGCCCAATGTGCTGGCGCTCCCTCATTGGCCGCTCGATCGCGCGGGTCCAGATCGAACGATCATTAAGAGGATCAAGGCGCAGGAAGCAGAGCAGCGAGAAGAGATCCCCCGGCTGGTTCTGCACCGGAGTGCCCGTCACTGCCCACCGCCTCTCCGCCTGCAGCGCTGTCGCCGCCCGCGCAGCCCGCGTCCGCACGGATTTGATCACGTGCGCTTCGTCTAGAATCACCCGCCTCCATTTCACCTGCATCAATGGCCCTCCACCTGCTGTCTCTGCTCCCGCTCCTCCTGCTGTTGAAGCTCCTGCAGTGCTCCTACTACTGCTCCCTGCTCCTCCCGCCGTCCCTGCCATCCCCCCTCGCTTCCTCTGCCCCTGCGCTGCGGCCCCTGGCGCCTTCCTCTTCCTTCCCCGCGCCCCTGGCATGCCCGCATAAGCCGGCATGAGCATTCCTGGGCACCCCGGAATGGAAGGCGGGGAGGGCGGCGGACTGTCAGCATACTGTGCCTCTGCCATTCCCCTTGCCCCGCCCCTACCAGCACCAGCAGAAGAACCACCAGCAGCACCAGCAGCAGCACCACCAGCAGCTGCAGCAGCAGCAGTGGAGGCAGAGGAAGGGGGGCACTCAGAAGCGAGGATGTTGTAGGTGGTAAAGACAAGGTCAAAGCCAGAGAGGAAGCTCGGGTCTCTCACACGCTCTGCCCCGTGGTACACATAGTAGCTCAGCGCTCCTGGTGCCACGTGCTCTGCCAGCTGTGCCGTCCAGTTGGAGAGAACGGACAGAGGGCACACCACTAGCGTCGCCCTGCTCTGCTCCCCTTGCACCCCATCAGCAGCACCAGTGGAGGAGGTGCCGATAGCTTGTGTTTCACCAGCGTCAGCAGCAGCAGCAGAGGTTGAAGCGACAAGGGAGAGCAGGGAGAGCGTTTTCCCCAGCCCCATGTCATCAGCCAGAATGCCTCCCCTCAGCGCCTTAGGCCTCTCCTCTGTCGTGAAGTTGGTGAGAATGTTGGTGAACACTCGCCCCCCGCCCTCCCCCCCATCATCTCCATCGTCCTCCTCCCAATCTCCCCCTCCCGCTCCCCCCTCCACCCCTCCTGCACCCCCTCCCTGTACCTCACTTCCTCTTCCCCGGCCTCCCCTGCCCTGTCTCCCGGCCCCCCTCCCTCCTCCTCCTCTCCCTCCTCTCTTCCCTTTGCTGCTGCTCCCAGATTCTAAGGCCCCGGCTTTCCAAAACGGTGGAAGCTTCTTCGCGCTTTCCCGCTTGATCATCCACGCCAGCGCCCGTTGTTGATGTGGCAGGAGGGACGACCTGATGACGTGGCAAGGCGGATCCGCGGTGGGCCGATCCGCTTCCATCTGGCATGCCAGGTCATCAAACATGGATAAGACCGCCTTGTCCTGTTCTGCTTGGCTCATCGCGGCTCTTCGCGCTGCCAAAGCAGCAGCCACTGACGCAGCAGCCGAAGCAGCCTGTAACGAGGACAACTGTAACGAACCAGAGGACGAAGCTTCCCCGAAAGTGTCTGAACCAGGGAGGCTGTTGGTTTCCACCAGAGGAACTCCGGCAGACAGCAAGCGAGATACTACTTCAGGAGCAGATTCAGGGGAGCAGAACAAGCACATGTGACACGGCATTTGGTATTTGTTCCTCGTTCCACGCGTCACCAGCCCTTCGATCGCGACCAATCCTGCGTCGACAAGTGGCGCCAGGTGGCAGGCCATTTTGGCCTCCACGTGGCCCACCTCCTGCCCTCTGATGTTGTCCACGCGGATGGCGTTGCGGTCGTACGCGTTATTAGGCTCCCGAATAAGCCGAACCATCTGCAGGTTGGGTCGCAGGAGAGTTGAAAGCATAAAACACATGTAAAGAGGAAAGCGCGACTGGAAGGAACTACCCTTCATCAAATTCACGGTCCCTGGGTAACCATGCAGCCCTGTGACGTTTATGCGCACGCTCCCAACGTACATTGAGATACATTGAGACGCCTTACAACGAATCTACGTGTGCACGCAGGTACGAACCTCTCGCGGGTCCACAGTTCCCGGGTAGTGCTGCAAGCCCCTGATGGAAGGTAGCAGCATGTTGATGCTAAAATGCATCGGGACACCTCTGAATGAATCTAAATGTACATTGAGATACATTGAGACGCCTTATACCGAATCTACGTGTGCACGCAGGTACAGAACTCTCGCGGCTTGACAGTCTCCGCGTAGTATGCAAGCCCCTGATGTCGACGAGCACGCTCCCGATGTATATCGAGACGGCTCTTAACGAGTCTACATGTATTACGTGCAGAAACGAACCTCTCGCAGGTTCACGGTCCCCGGGTAGTGCTGCAACCCGTTCATGTTGACGAGCACACTGCCAATGTATATCGAGACGTCTCTTAACGAATCTACAACGAACCTCTCGCGGGTTCACGGTCCCCGGGTAGTGCTGCAGACCCTTGATGTTAAAGAGCACACTGCCAATGTACGTCCTGTCGTCCTCCGCTTGCGACGCGTCTCCCTGCGACGCGTCAACAGCCTCCTCCTCCCAGTCCTCCTCCATCCGCGCGAACTACGATGAGGACTAGGATATTCGCGGGCTTTCCAAACTATACGCGACACGGGGCCGTATTCTTATTTGCACGAAGATATCAGGGCCAGGGACAAGAGAAGGTAGGGTCGGGGCAACGTATCAGCGAAAGCGCCAAGCCTGGATCCTGCCTAGCGACAGGAAATACTCCCAGGACGAAGCCAAGAGTGGAAGAGTGGAAGAGTGGATGAAGTGAAACAAGAATGCGCGGATCAAATTTTACGAATTCCTGGAGACAGGCTTGAGCTGTCGTACTCTTTATAGAGGTTCACTATAACTGTGGTGGATCGCATCTGTTCTAGACCTTTCCGCGTCTTGGGCACACCAGCTATCACCCGAGAAAGTTCGACCTCTTGCTAAGGAGTTTTTTGTTGCTTATAAACCAGGCATTGGCATAGATGTTACTACATATTTGTTTGCATTTCAACATAGGAGACAGCACGGTTGTTGAGGACCTACCCACATCAAGCCAGAACTCAGTACCTTGAAGCATGGATCTAAGCACTGCTTACCTAAAAGGTATTGGGTTAGAAAAACAGAGAGCTAATGGCAAGTGCTTGAGTGCCTGAGCTAATCACTTTTGAGAATAACCAGAAGTGATACGGTAGGTACAAGGTGTTTGTTGGGTTAGCATACAAAGAGAGTCTACTCAGCGATTGCTCCAAAGCCCGAGCGGCCGCGAGATCGCGAGGTGGTGTTAGTGCGAGAGTTAATGCTGGCGCAGCGCAGAAGCTTCTGAAACTCGGGCAAGCTGATTCGCCCATCCCCGTCCACATCCCCCTCGTCTATCAATCGGCCCAGCGACCCCTTCACTTGCGCCGCCTGTTTGCAAGCAGAGGGGAAAGGGGGGAAGGAAGAGGAGAGGGGGGAAGAGAGAGGGGAGGGGGGAAAAGGGAGTCAGCAAGCTGATGCGACCCTCCCCACCCACATTGATGCGTCTATCAATCGCCCCAGCGACCCCTTCATCTGCGCCGCCTGTTTGCAAGCAGAGGGAGAAGGGAGGGAGGAGACGAAAAGGTACAATATTGGAACGGTTAAAGAATGTTCATCATCCCGTCCTCCTCCTCGTCCACTAATCGCGCCCACAACCCCGTCACTGTGCCGCCTGTAGGAAGAAACACCTTCCACTATCCTCACCAATCAGACCCATCTAAATCGCACACAACCACCCCCAACCCTTTGCAACACCATCTCACCACTCTCAGCTCCTCCGCGTCGATGAAGCCATCTCCATCCGTGTCGAAGTGGTTGAATGCTGCCTTGGAACGCTCCTCCCACTTGGCTGAATCAGCCTCCTCCAGCTGCTGCACGTGCAGCGTGGCCGCCACAAACTCATCGAAATCAATGATGCCATCACAGTTGGTGTCCATCTGTGAGGGTGGGAATAAGGGATGAGAGTTGAGCCTCATGAGTCAGCCTCCTCCAGCTGCTGCACGTGCAGCGTGCAGAGCAGTCACCACAAACTCATTCAAAAGAGTCCATTAATAGGTGATGCCACCAAAGGTTGTAGACAAAGAGGCGAATTGAGTGCTGAAAACAAGCGCTTGCAAGCAAGGCAACACAGGACAAGAGAGAGCAATGCGCAAGGCATGCGAGAGAATAACAGCTGGCTTCTGAGTCTTGTCACAAGCCAACTAGGGCGTATGAGAGCAGCAGCAGCTGGCATGGGCATGGTGGAAGGCAGTGTGCAAGGCGAAGATGTGCATGCTGCTGCGTGTCGAGGGCACAGGCGTGGTGGGTGCAGTGTGAATGAACTCACAGCTTGCAAGATTTGCACCACTTTGGTCTCCTTCACTTCATACGGGAGGTCCTTGTTGAGCGCCTGGCGTATGGGAAACAGGAACATACCGGGAGGGGAGGGGGGATGAGAAGGAGAATGATAGGAGGAGAAGTCAGGGGGTTGGTGAGGTTTCAGCACTCAGAAGCGAATGCATTGAGTTGAAGAAAGCACTCAGCTGACTTCAGCGCATGTGTGAGGGTGTGCTAGTAGTGACACCGAGCTCATATGTCGTGTCATGTGATCTCTTGACATGCTAGCACGAACTCACAAGTCGGATTTCATTGATGGTGACGGTGCTGTCCCCATTGATGTCTTTTGAGGCGCTAACAAGCTGTGCTATTGGGTGCTCATGCCGTCTCTTGTCATGCCAGCAAGCAGCTCACATGTCGGATCTCATCGATGGTGATGGTGCCGTCCCCATTGATGTCCATTGCGTTGAACTGGTCCCTCAGCTGCTGCACCTCCGTGCTCTCCAAAGTGGTCGCTAGCGCCTGGTGGAAAGGAGGAAAGGCAATGAGGACAAGTTGGGACACGAGCAGCATTGGAGCAAACAAGCATTGTTGAGCTGGTCCCTTGGACGCGAGTACTTAACAAACTCTGCGCACATTGCACAGGAGATCGCTCTATCAACCAGCACAGCACACCAGCTGTGTGGCACTGTGGAATTACAGCAAGCAGTAAACCCACATTGAGCGTCATCTGCTTGAGGCACGAGTACTTGACGAACTCGAGGATGTTGGACAGCACTGCTATGTCCAGCGGGATGGACGATGGGACATGGGGGGGATGGCACCACTCACCTTCACCACCACCACACTTGCGTGCGTGCATGTGGTGCGTGCTTGCTGTGCGTGCTTGCTCTCACCTTGAGCGCCATCTGCTTGAGGCGTGAGTACTTGACAAACTCCCGCATGTTGGACAGCACTGCTATGTCCAGCGGGATGGACGACGCATTGCCTCCCTCCTTCACCCATGGGTGAGCTGGTGGTGGGGTGGTGGGGAGGGGGGAAATAGGTGTGTGAACGGCCAAGAGGGGAAGGAAAGCTGATAGATGACAGCACGGCTATGTCAAGCGGGATGGATGACGCGTTGCCTCCCTCCTTCACCCATGGGTGCGCTGGTTGTGGGGTGGAGGGGAGGGGTGAAGGGGAGGGGAGGGGAGGGGAGGGGAGGGGAGGGGAGGGGAGGGGAGGGGAGGGGAGGGGAGGGGAGGGGAGGGGAGGGGAGGGGAGGGAGAAAGGTGGGAACGGGCAACATAGGAAGGAATGCGGGGAGATGACACACTGCTGTGGCCAACGGGCATGTTGGATATCACTGCACTGTACGCCCAACCACAATGCATGTCTCAAAGGCCGCGCGTTGACTCACACAGGGCTTGCGCAGCGGTGGGGCGGGCGCGAGGGTCCTTCTTGAGCAGCTTCTTGACAAATTCCTTGGCGCCGGCTGGATGAGATCTGTACAGCATTGACTCACACATGGCTACTAGGCAGGGAGGGCGTTGACTTGACTCACACAGGGCTTGTGCAGCGGTGGGGCGAGCACGGGGGTCCTTCTTGAGCAGCTTCTTGACAAATTCCTTGGCGCCGGCTGGATGAGATCTGTACAGCATTGACTCACACATGGCTACTAGGCAGGGAGGGCGTTGACTTGACTCACACAGGGCTTGTGCAGCGGTGGGGCGAGCACGGGGGTCCTTCTTGAGCAGCTTCTTGACAAAGTCCTTGGCGCTGGTGGAGATCTGCGGCCATGGCTTCTCCCTGAAGTCGGGTTTCTTCTTCAGCACCTGGTGGGATGGGGAGAGTGAGAAACACGGATTATCCACTGCCACTCTCAACCTCTCTCTACCCCTCTCCCAGGGAAAGCAGCTGAGATCCTGCGGCCACGGTTTCCCCCTGAAGTCCGAGATCATCTTGAGCACCTGGAGGATTAGCATGGGACAGAGGGGCACAACAGGGTAAATGCAGAGTGAGTAGCTGGTTTTTGAGAATTCTCAAAAACCATGCAGAGAGAATAGAGTGAACAACATATCTGCGGCCATGGCTTCTCCCTGAAGTCCGGCTTCTTCTTTAGCTACTGGTGGGATCGCATGGGACAGAGGGGAGGTGAATAAAGAGTGAATAGAGAGGGAATAAAGAGTGCATAGAGAGTGAATAGAAAGTGAATAGAGGGATAAATAAAGTGATAACAGGGACAACGTTTACCTTTCCTGTGACCCTACGCTCCCATTTCTTCTCCACCCCAATGCGCCGATGCTCCTTTGCCACTCTCAACCGCCCTCTGCCCCATCTATTCCCCCTCTGTTTTATCCCAGAAAGGTCGTCTCCCAGACAGCAAGGTGTACGTAATGACGCCAATGCTCCACACGTCACTCTCACTCTTATCCCTCTCTCTTCCCCCCCATCTCCCTCTCCCTCACTTCAACCCCCCTACTTCCCCGCACCTCATTGAAAATGCCGGCCTCTGTTTTATCCCAGAACGGTCGTCTGCCAGACAGCAAGATATACGTGATGACCCCGATGCTCCACACGTCACTCTCCGGCCCCGACCGCCTCTTGAGGACCTCGGGAGCCACGTAATAGGCGCTGCCCACCACGTCCGTGAAGTGCTTGCCTGGGGTTGAGAGGGGTGGGGTAGTGTGGGGAGGAGTGGGGTTGGCGTGAGCAGGGAAGACCTCCTCTTGATCGCCTCTTGAGCACCTCAGGAGCCACGTAGTAGGCGCTGCCCACCACGTCCGTGAAGTGCTTGCCTGGGGAAGAGAGGATGGTGAAGTGCGGTGGAGTGAGGTAGAGGGGGGTGAAATGGGGTGGGGTGAGGTTGGTGTGAGCAGGACAGACCTCCCGTTGATCACCTCTTGGGGCCACATAGTAGGTGCTGCCCACCACATCCGTGAAGTGCTTGCCTGGGGTTGAGTGCGGTGGGGTGGGATAGAGAGGGGTGAAATGGGATGGGGGGGCTGAGTCGACTAAATCACCCTCTCGCCTTCTCGGCCCCTCTTTATTCCCCCGTCCTTGCACCTCCCCCACCCCTCCCCCGCCCGGGCGCGCCACTCACCTGGTTTTCTAAAGTCCGAGAGGCCAAAGTCGGTGGCCTCAAGAGGCGATTCCTCCGATTTTGAGTCGACTAAAACATCTCCCCTCGCATCCCCCACATCCCCAGATAGCGGGCCCCTCTTTATCCCCCGCCCTCGCACTCCCCCCACCCCCCCAGGTGTGCCACTCACCCGGCTTTCTTAAGTCCGAGAGGCCAAAGTCGGTGGCCTTGAGAGGCGAGTCCTTTGAGTTGACTCCAAACCAGAGCTATCTCCGCTTCCCTTCCCATCCCATCCCACCTATCGCCGCTCCCCTTCCCATCCCATCTTACCTGGCTTTCTGAAGTCCGAGAGGCCAAAGTCGGTGGCCTTGAGAGGTGATTCCTCCGTCTTGTTGGCGAACAGAAAGTTCTGCGCAACACAGATGGGTGGAGAGGGGTGCGAAGGGATGACTGAAGGTGGGAGTGATGCAGAGGAGATCAACCCTAGATCGACACCTATCTCACATCTGCCTGGAGTGGAGACCTTTCTCGCTCCTGGCTTGCCACCCATAGGCTATCGCACCTCGGGCTTGCCACCCATAGGCTATCGCACCTCGGGCTTGCCACCCATAGGCTATCGCACCTGAGGTACCTCTCAGCCGTCTCCCCCCGGGCTTCAGGCCAATGCACCTCGGGTTGAGGTCACCTCGGGCTTGCCACCCATAAGCTATCGCACCTCGGGCTTGCCACCCATAAGCTATCGCACCTCGGGCTTGCCACCCATAGGCAATCGCACCTCAGGCTTGAGGTCGCGGTGCACGACGCCGTTGAGGTGGCAGCGGGCCACCCCTGCCCTGAAACCTACCTGTCTAACCCCTGGCTTCAAATGCATACCACCTCGGGGTCAGGGCAAAATAGCTTGAAACAGCTCTCACCTCAGGCTTGAGGTCGCGGTGCACGACGCCGTTGAGGTGGCAGCTATCCCACCCCTGCCTTGACATCCGCCTGTCTAGCCCCTGGCTTGAGATAGACCTAACTTCGAGCTCGAAAGCAATCCCACCTCGGGCTTGAGGTCACAATGATCGCACCTCGGACTTGAGGTCACAATAATCGCACCTCGGGCTTGAGGTCGCGGTGCACGACGCCGTTCAGGTGACAGCGCGCCACCACGTTGAGCATCTGCCTCACCACACTCGCAGCGTCCTTCTCCGAGTACCGGTTGTCCTTCCTGCCATGGTGGGAGAGCAGGCAGAGAAACAGGCAGAGAGACAGGCAAATGGACGGACGGGCCGAAAGACAGGCAGGCACACGCGCTCTTGTCGTTAGTGTCTCGTTGAGCATCTGCCTCACCCTTCTTCGAATTCCGGTTGTCCTTCCTGTCATGGTGGGTGGTCGGGCGAGCAAGCCGACAGGCGGGTAGGCAGGCAGGCGGACGGACGGACGCATTTGATAAGCACGCATTCGTTGTGCACGCAATTGTTTACAACAGACGGACAGACGGGTTTCCTTGGATGGCATTGGCACTCTCCCCTCACTAGCCATCATCCTCACTCACCCTCCCCAGTCCTCGCCCACTCGCCCCCACTCCAGCCCCTCAATCACCCCCCCTTCCCCCTCACTCACGCACCCTCACCATCTCACTCGCCCCCACCCTCCCTCACTCACCACCACCCTCACGGACCAACACCCTCACTCACTTGCCCAGAATCCTGTCAAGCAGCTCTCCTCCTTCACATAACCTGCGTGAGGTGGACGGACAAAAGGAAAGAACAAGAACATGAGAAGATGACAGAAGGACAGAACGACAGCATGACAGCATGACAGAACGACAGCATGACAGCATGACAGCATGACAGCATGACAGCATGACAGCATGACAGCATGACAGCATGACAGCATGACAGCATGACAGCATGATAGCATGACAGCATGACAGCATGACAGCATGACAGCATGACAGCATGACAGCATGACAGCATGACAGCATGATAGCATGACAGCATGACAGCATGACATCATGACAGCATGACAGCATGACAGCATGACAGCATGACAGCATGACAAGTGATGCGTGAGGACAGATTGGCATACGCGCTCCGTTCATTCACAGACACAAGTAATCCGAACCACATGGGGACGGCCAAAAACCAACTCCTTGATTGCCACCCTTAGCTGATCAAGTGCGCACTTAGTACCCGCTATAGCGCACTCACTCCATGGCAATGTACACGAGTTCCGTGTCTTCAAAGACGTCGATAAACTGAACCACGTTGGGATGGCCCGACAACAGCTGCAGGATCTTCACCTCCCGCTCCACATCCTCCACCGCTATTGGCTGCTTCATCTGCAGCGCGCCGCGCGAGGGTAGACGGGCAGTAGCGAGAGTATACGGGCAGAAACAACAGTTCACTGACAGAAACAAGAGTACACGGGCATTATTTCTAGCACCGCGATGGCGGGTCAGCAATCCGCAGAAGGAAAAAGAAAAGATGCAGAAGCAAAACATTAATAAGAGCCAGAAGCGTCTACAACCCAAAACTGAAGGTAGTAAGACTGAAATGTGATACAAAACCAGTCACTGTATAACGGACTGCTTATTAGGCCATGTATGCTTTCGTCAGGTCGTCGTAACGAGCAGGAAAAAACGCATCGTCCTTACCTTCGTACAGCAGGCATTGACCTGATTGTACGTACCCTTCTCAAACACTCTTCGTACAGCAGGCATTGACCTGTTTGTACGTACCCTTCTCAAACACTCTTCGTACAGCAGGCATTGACCTGTTTGTACGTTCCTAAGATGCTCACCGATTTCTTTTGAATTGCCTTGACGGCCACGCGATTATCCGTCGCTAGTTGTATCGACTCATAAGTTGTCCCGAATTGCCCGTGTCCCAGCTCCTTCCCGGTCTTATAATGCTTCTCGAAGTCGCGCTTATAACCGAAGTCGGTCCGGAGGCCTATTGGAATGCTCTTATCATCTTTGGGGTACTTAGCGTTTTGTATCTTCGCCCCGTCGCAGTTATCGTCTCCGGTTCGACTACCGCCAACGACAGGATTCTTCTGAACCTTGCTTTCGTCGACATTTCCTTTATCCTTTTCGACCGACGCAGAGCCGAGACACGTTGAGAGGCACGCTCCCATGTTTAAGCGTGGCTTGCTTACTGAAATAAATACGGTCAAATGTGAACGAATAAATATCTGCTCTGAATACAGCTAAGTTTTCAGCACCCACAGTTGATAACCTACACCACTTTATCACGGCTATGTTTGAGTAATTACGTATACCAAGACGCGGACCGCATCGATGCCCTGACCAACACCTATCTATCCAAGAGTGGCTGATTGCTGCTGTTGCAATGCCTTGCGAGTGTGCCGTGCTGGTGAAGGTAGTGCATGTATAGAGAGTGGTTCTAGACGTGACAGAGCAAAGATACCACCTCCTAACGCACTGAACCGCAGCATTATCTACATACATTTCGTAGGCAGACTCGGCATTTCCGTAAGTGCACTGGTCAAACGGTTTCTATCCGACACCCCATTTCGATTATATGGGGCACTAGCGGGGACACGCGGAAGTTCGGCCAGCCACGCTAGGTAACTCGCAGTGGTGTCGTCGAAGTGTCGCCACTCGGCATTCCGGAGCTGCCCGCAAAAGTACCGTCGATTCGCGATTGTAACCAAGCAAAGATCAACTCTGCGAGTGTTTCGATCGGCGAACCTGTATTGCAAGAATGACGAAAGCGAGTTGTTCATACAGCCTGCCCTACTGGGGCTGTGTGACAGGCGCGAGGGGAGGGGAGCCCCGAACCGATCCGAAATGGCTAGCTGGGGCAAAGCGGAATGAAAACCCCCTTCTCGCCGTACCGGCCTGCACCTGACAGGGCTCCGCGGGTTTGACGGGGCGTGTCGCTGTGACAGCGTTGACGCGTGCCCAGCTGATTTGGCGCGAAACAGTTCCTAAGCTGACACCAAAAGAGGGTGATGTAATACGAGATGTTTCATTTTAGAAAAAAAAACATCAACACTTAGCCTGCACTAGATACATACTAACCTGAACATTAAACTAGTAGATCCTACTACTCCAAAGCCTTGTGATAGAGACTCCTAGGACAAAGCCTAATACGCCTGCTGTTGTAGCGACTAATATAGCCAGCCATACCATATCTTCTAATCTCCTTGATAGTTCTAAAGAGACCCCTCTGCAACAACAAACAAGGCACCAACCCCAACAACATGAAAATGTAATATATTCAAAAGATGACGCAACCCTAAAATAATGCAACACGAAACAGCATACATACGGCATCAACTCACCTGGCATTATTGATGCTTTGTTGAAGGCTCTCCATTTGTTCAGACACATCCTTTCGCACGTCCTCCAAATCCTTCCCATGCCGCCGCTCCTGTATACATCATGCCAGCAACCAACACCTACGGTAAGTCAATGTCCGTGCACATTCCACCAATAACATTCAAAACAAGCAAAAAAACGCATATCTCCCTCTCATACAAGCACATGCATCCCTCTCATACAAGCACATACATCCCTCTCATACAAGCACATCCATCCCTCTCATACGAGCAAATACACCCCTCTCATACAAGCACAAACATCCCTCTCATACAAGCACATACATCTCTTGCATACAAGCGCACATCCCTTGCACACGCATCCCTCACACACACAGTTCGGCATCCGTGGAGGCGAGGTTAGCAGCATAGGAGGCAGCCATGCCCTCCACATACTGCTCCAGCACCGCCTGCTTGCCCTCCCACTGCCTCACCATGTGCACGCCCACACATCCCCCCCATACAAGCACATACACCCGCCCTCACAGAATCACATCCATCCCTCCCAAACACCAGAAACAATATCCAGTCACCGAGTTCTGCAGCTGTGCCTGCAGCCCTGCAATGGTAACCGTGGCATTTCGCAGACGTGTGCGCAGCGAGAGCAACTCAGCATCCGTAGAAGCAAGGTTAGCCGCAAAGGAGGCAGCCATGTCGTCCACATACTGCTCCAGCACCGCGGGCTTGTCCTCCCACCCCCTCACCATGTGCACGCACAACCATCCCTCACATCCAAGCACACACATCCCTCGCATCGCATACACCCCAACACACACTCACCGCATTCTGCAGCTGCACCTGCAGCCCTGCGATGGTACCAGTAGCATTCCGCAGGCGAGTCCTCAACGAGAGCAGCTCAGCATCCGTAGAAGCAAGGTTAGCTGCGTACGATGCAGCCATGTCTTCAATATACTGCTCCAGCACCGCCTGCTTGTCCTCCCACTGCCTCACCATGTGCATCAGCGACTTGAGCCCATACAGGTTGCTGGCAGCACCGGCAAAGCTGCTGCCGCTGCTGCTGATGCTGAAGGGGGTGGTACTGGTGACCACCTGAGCTCCACTAATGAGGGCTCCGTTATTGCCTACTGCAGTGCTTGCTGTCGCATCAGTGGCTGTCCCACTGGCGGCCATTGTGCCAGTACCCGTCTCTTTATTGCCTGCTGCTGTGCTACTTGCATCCCCTCCTACCCCACTGCTGGTGCTGCTGGTGATGGTGCTGCTGCTGGTGCTGCTGGTGATGGTGGTGCTGCTCCCGCGCTTCGCCTCTGGCTCATTGTCAGTCCCATCCACCTCAGCTGTAGTGTCTGGTTGTAAGGAAACAACATCCTCCTTAATGGGCTTTCCACCATTCTCTATTGTTTTCCTGTTGACTACAACACTGCTATCTTCTCTCTGACTCCTGTCGCCTGCCGTAGGTCGCTCTTCCCGAGATTCTTGGATTTTATTGCCGCCCGCATCAAAAGCACCTGTCTGCCGGCCATCTGCTGCTGCTGCCGATGGTGACGCCTGCTCCACGCCTGGCCCTGCTGTTTTCACCTGAACGCTCTCTACCTTGTCGGATAAACTACCTGACAATCCACCTGAAGGAGCAGCTCCCAGACTGCTCCCCCCTCCACCCTCCACCACATTGCTTCTGACTCGCTCCCCCTCCCCTCCATTCTCCCCATCCATCTTTGCTTCTCCTGCCTCCCTTTCACGTGCTCCTGCCCTCCCATTTGCACCTGCCTTTTCACCCGAACCTTCCATAACTTCCGAACCTCCCTCTCCCAGCGCACCTGCCCCACCAGATGAACCAGCCCCGGGGGCAGAGCCCTGGTGTGAGGGTGTGGCAGCGGATGGCATGGAGGGAGCAGTGGGGGGGACACCTACCCGACTAGATGAACTAGATCCTGTACCTGCCTTGCTGCCTACCATATCAACATCGCCTGCTTGACCTTGCGGCTCTTGGGAAGCAGAAACAGAGATCCCACCGCCAGACCCAATGCTGGGATCTGCCTTTGCCTCTGCCTCCGGCTTGGCCCCTCCCACTGCATCTGCCCCTGCCTCTGCCCCCTCCCCTGCCCTTGCCCCTGTCTCTGTCTCTGCCTCTGCCTCTGCCTCTGCCTCTGCCTTCTCTTCTCCTTTAACTAAACCAGTCAGAGACGAGCCTCTGCCATCCCCAACGGCTGCTTCCAACTCGCCTCTCCCCAACCGAGCCTCCTTACCCTCGCCCACTTCCTCTCTCACTCCCCTTCCCACATCCCCCACATTCTCCTGCTTCTCCCCTGCCACGTGTCTAGCCTCATCCGAACCTAATCCCTTACCCAGCAACTTCAAATCTCCCCCCTCAGCTTCTCTCATTCCCCCAAACTCTCGTCTAGCCGGCTCACTCCCATCACCACCAGAATCACTCTGCTCCTCCTCCGCCCCGCTGCCTTCCCTTCCTCCTTCCACCCCACTCCCTCCCTTCGCTTCTCGCCCTTCTGAAGCTCCTGTCACCTCCTCCTCCAAAGAAGAAAGCTTCTCACTACCTTCTCCGCTCACTGGTGCTGAAAATCCGCCTTCACGCTTCACCTCCCCTATTCCTCCCCCACCACCTCCCCCACCACCTCCCTCACCACCTGCCACAGCGCCTGCTTCAACGCTTGCCTCAGCGCCTGCCCACACGCCTGCCCCCACGCCTGCCTCAGAACGTGCCCTTTCTACATTGGAACCGTCTCCTACCACAGCCGCACCCATCTCCACACCTCCCCCAGCATCACACCCAGAAGCAGCATCTGCCCCCGCTGCTGCTCCCCTGTGCCCTGCTACTCCATCCACAGACGCACATCCTGCACCTTCTCCCTTCCCAGCCAGCTTCTCACTCTCTCCCTCTCCCAACCTGCCCACCCCATGCCTTCCCCCCGTCCTCCCCTCCTCCCCAGCCGCTTCACCTGCCGCAACCGCACCAGATTTCCCCTCAACACTCCCCTTGTCAACTGTCCCCTTTGCTTTCGTACTTATCATCAGCTTCTCCGCTTCCCTCCCCTCCACTTCCCCCCCGCTCTGAATCGAGCCTCCATTGCTCCCTGTGGTGGCGTTGCTGCTACCACTGTCCCCTGTGCTGCTACTGCCGCTCGTGACGTTGCCTCTACCACTGATGTTGTTCCTGCCGCCACTGCCACCAATACTCCTTACCGAATCCACTCCTTCCTCAGGCACCACTCTACTGCTGCCTTCCCTGCTGCCCTCGCTGCTCCCTCCCCCCTCCCTCTCAGTACCGCGCTGGATCAACCCACCTCGCTCTTCCACCCCCCCATACACCACACCTGCCTCTTCTCCTCCTTCTACGCCCACTCTACTGCTCCCACCAGACTGCTCCTCGGCCTTCCCACTGGCAGCTTCCGCAGCAGGCGAGTTTCCCAAAGGGACAGAGCCAGAAGCTGGTGGTTGTGCGATGGCGCCAGGTGCACCTGTGGAACTCCCATTGTCGGCCATGCTGCCCCTTGTGCTCCCAGGTTCCTCACTCGCCCCTGTGTTGCTTGGAGCGCCTGCTGACTCACTGGAAGTGGCAACAGGCGCATCTGCAGCAGCCGCAGCAGGAGAAGCTGCAGACGCGGCCGCATCTTTGGGAGGAGCAGCAGAAGGAGCAGCAGGAGGGAGAGGCGGAGAGGCAGGAAGAGGATGGGGAGTCTGGACGGGTTGGGAAGATTCATGAAAAGATGCAGAGCTTGTGGGAGCAGCAGCGCTTGCTGCTTCTGCAGCGGCACCAACAGCAGCGGCGGGCACAGAGAGTGGCGGCAATTGCTCAGAAGGTCCAACAGTGGACGGTGGATCAGACCCCTCTGCCTGGGCTGGCACCGCTCTGGAACCCTCTGAACCCACTGAACCATCTAAGCCCACAGACCCCACCGTCACCACATGGGGAATGGTAACCACTTGTGGAGTGATAACCTCTTGAGTGGTAACCATTTCAGGAGTGGTAACCACTTGAGGGATGGTAACCGCTTGAGGAGTGGTAACCACTGGAGCGATAACCGCCTGAGGAACCACCGGTAGCGTCGGCGCAGCAGCAGCAGCAGCAACACCCTGCCTGCCCGGAGGAGCAGCAGGCATGGCCTGCCTGCCCGCCCCCATCATCCTAGTCATTGCCTCCATCTCCTCCCTGAGCCCATCTAGCTCATTCACCCCGTGCACTCGCACCAGACTCAGCGTACAGAAGAATTCCGCCCCGTGGTGCGACAGCTGCCGCACCATTACGTACCGCACTGAATCCCCTAGATCTCCGCTGCCTGTCACCTCGAACGCCTGGGGCGTCCGCACGCTCTGCGCTGAGAAGTTTCCCAGAAAGTGCCAGCGATCCGAGGGGTAATTTCTGCTCGCCCAGACTTCAAAGTCTTTTGTGGAAGAGGCGTAGAACTCGTAATTGGCTAGTACAATCGTTTCTATCCGCGCTAGGAACTCAGAGAGCTCTATAACGAGGAACTTGTTCGCTACACTGCACGGGATGCGTAAGTACTTGTCCTTATCCTCGTCTAAAACGGCCTGGGGTCGTTTCGCCTCACTGCTGCAGTCCACAATTTTGGCACCGTGATTCGCGGAGGCATAGTTGTACCTGCTTTTATCTGTGCCCGTCTGTCTCCTCCGAGGCCATTCCGGTGGTTGACCACCCATTCCGCCCACCATTCCGCCTGTCATTCCCCCGCGCATCCCTCCGCCCATCCCCCCCATCCCTCCGCCAATTCCCCCCATATCAACCACTTCCCCCAGCTGCGCCCCTCCCATTGCGCCGCCTACTATCTGCCCTCCTCCCATGGGCGGAAAACCAGCGCCAGGCGCATGGACTGCGCCCCCCGCGGGGGCGACCGCATCCGCGGGTACACTGGCGGAAGCTCCGCCAGCTGCTCCGCCTGCTGCGCCTGGCACCGCGCCAGCGTACGCTACTCCCGAAGGGGGGATGGGCACTCCCGCGGGGATCACCCCCGCGGGGGGTTCGTTTCCTTCCGCCGCCCTCTGTTTGTTAAAGTATTCCCGCTTGTACGCGTCTAGCCCGGGGGGGATCACGCGCACTGGCCGCGCAGATTCCGCGTCATCGTCGTCAAAGAAAGACTCTGCTTGGCTGGCTTTCGCTGCAGCAGCTGCTCCTGCTGCTGCTTCCGCTGCGGCTGCTGTCTCTGCTGCTGCTCTTTCCGCCGCTGCAGTTCCCGCAGCTGCTGTATCTGCTACTGTGGGATCTACCGTTGCCGTTGCTCCCGCTACGGGCCGCTCCTCTCTTCCTTCCCCCACAGTTCCCCCAACCTTTCCCGGCTCCCCTGCGCCGCTTGCCCCAAGCGCCGCCTCTTGACGCCCAGTCCTGCGCGGCCCAGCTTCTGTTGGGGACCCTGCTTGCGCCGCACCCGCTTGCGCCGCAATTGCGCCCGCATCTACCGGCGCAGCACCGCCAACTTGCCCCGAACCCTCGATAGTAGCCGAACCCGTGGCTTCTGACAAAGGCTCCGCCACCTTCCTTGAACCCGTTGCTTCGACCACATCCAATTTTACTGCTTCCTCAGCAATTCCCTGCGGGTGCGGTATCTCCGTATCACCATCAGCCTGAATCCTCGCCGTGCCGCTCTGGCTTCTCTGCTCCGTGCCTCTCGACTGCTGCTGCGCGACTCCCGGCCGTGGCTCGCCCGTTTCTCGGCTTCCCACTTCTGGGGTCGAAGGACTTGAAAGGGATGACGTAAAAAATACATGCTTTCCTTGATGCGATGCGCAATCGCGCAAACTAGAGCTAAAGCAGCTCTCAAACCCGAAGAGTAGAACTTGCAGGAGATTCAACGAGGTCGTCAACCCCTGTAGCGGAAGCACCAGCGGCGATCTGTAATTCTCGTGGTAAGTGCTGCCTTCGCTGAGAACTTCGGGTGATCTTTCCGTGATCCCCGCTGCGCTACTGGCTGCGGCACTAGGGCAAGTCGCTCTGCCTTGCTCCACGCATGCCTCTGCTCGGCCGCGCTGCTGGTGCTTCTGCTGCAGCTGCTGTGAGAAGAACGTGCGGTTCGGGTCGAAATTGCCGCCGAGGAACGCGGGCGAGAGCTGAACGTCGCCCCAGCACAGCAGAAGAATTAAGGTTAAAACCAGACTGGCTGTTCGACCTAGCGGAACGACAGCGACCGTCATTTTGAAAGACGACTTGCGGCCAGACGTGAGTACAGTGGGACGAAAGCCCAGGCGATCCATCGTGACCGTCCATAACAACTACTTACGCTGTAACTGGGAATTCGGAATCATTCTGAATATAAAAGCTGTGAGCACGAATACGCAGAGACAGAAGCAAAGATGTGTGGAAGAGGGAGTTGATCAAAACACAACCACTGGAGTGGGTCAAGAGAATGGAATGGAATGACAGGTTCCCAAGGATGTGGTGCTGGAAGCAGAGGTGGATGTGGATGGGAGCCTTGGGTGTTGTTCCGGCTTGTTCAGAATTGCCCCCTCACTTCCCAGGGTGGTGATTGTCAGCGAAGGTGGAACCATACAAATCGACGAACATTCGAGAACTTTCTGTATGGTTGTTACGGGTGCAATGAATCGAAGTAGCGAGAATTGCACTAAGGTGTCAAACGAGAACAAAATGTGAGCGAAGGCATGAGCGAACATGTATACGCGAAACATGTAAACGGTAACGCGGTGCGTGCGAGCTAGCTAGTGCTACGCTGGAGCGAGGCTTGGGCTAGACCCGAAGCGTAGGCCGACACGGCCATGCCAGCAGTGCGAGGTTTGGTGAAAACAGTGTGCGCGAAGTCGGCGAAGCCCCGTTAGCAGTAACGGGCGAACAACGGCTGTTGCTGTACGCGATGTAGTCGGGCTCTCTCAAAGTTAGCGAACAACGGAATGATTGGAATAGAAACGAATGGGGTACAAATGAGCAACCCTAGAAGCTGTACCCCCTAGAGTGCAACTCATTATAGCCTATCATATCAATGTTCAACATTTGACACACCCCCATAGGCTAAGTGAGGGGCATCAAAGCAAGCAAGGTGAACAAACGGTCACAAGACCAGTCAAACCAAGAACCAAGGCAAGCTCAGGGTGGATCTCAAGGACACCACACAAATTCCGAGCGCAAGCAAGCGGCCACAAGGCCAGTTCAAGAGTTCACTAGGATATAAATACAAAGCACAACAAGCAGAGCAAGCAACAGGACTACACCAACCGAGGGCCTACCTCAACAAGCCCCAACTGCACACAGAACCTGTGGTGGTCACCAAGCGCCAAGGCCTTGGTGAAGACGTCTGCAGTGTTGGCCTCTGAGGCCACAAAGTCCAGGCGTGCCTGACCGCGTCGCTGCAGCTCTCGCAGGAGGAAGTACCTCACGTCAATATGCTTCACTCTGCTCTCCAGTCGAGGCTCTCGACACAGGAGGATCATGGCCTTGTTGTCAGCGTACAAGGTCGGTGCAGAGCGAGGCCGCTCACCAAGGTCAGCGAGCAAGAAGGTCAACCAGCGAAGCTCCTGTGCCGCCATGGCACCAGCGTAGATCTCTGCCTCTGCACTGGAAGTAGCCACAGACGACGACCGTGTAGACCTCCACGACACAGCACCAGCTCCCAGACTGAAGCAGTAACCCTGAGTCGAACGCTGAGTCTCCACGTCGTCAGCGTAGGAAGAGTCGCAGTGACCAGTCAACGCCACTGGCTGAGTCCCTCCAAGCACAAGCCCCAAGCCTGATGTAGTCGCCAGGTACTTCGCCACCCTCACAGCAGCTGTCCAGTGGACAGGGCGGTGTCTCCCAGTCGCAACAAAGCGAGAAAGGATGCTGAGTGGAAAGGCGAGGTCCGGTCGAGTACAAGTCATCAGGTACATGAGGCAGCCCACCAGCTCTGCGTAGGGTCCACTGGACTCAAAGGGCTCGTCAGGAAAGGGGCCCGTAAGTCTGTGGTCAACAGCAAGAGGAGTGGGCTGTGTGGTGGAGAACTGGAAGTGGAACCGCCGAAGGACCTGCTGCACCATGTGTGACTGCGTCAGTGTGATGGTGCGAGCGGCTCTGTCCCGGGTGATCTGCAGGCCAAGGTAGCGCTGCAGCTCACCCAGGTCAGTGCACTTGTGTCTCTTCTGCAGTTCGGACTTCACCTGAGCCAGGGCTGCCCTGTCTGCTGTAGCAAACACCAAGTCGTCGACGTAGACAAGGATAAAGAAAGGAGTAGAACCCGCTCGAACAAACAGCGACGGGTCGGCGGAGGACGGGCTGAACCCAAGGTCACAAAGCGTGGAGCGAAGAGTGTCGTGCCACTCACGGGGCGACTGGCGGAGACCGTAGACTGGTCGCCTCAGGCTCCACTGGGTCCCAGGTGGGAAGGTGTCAGTGAAGCCAGGAGGACGGCGCAGCCAGATCTCCTCGTGCAGTCGGCCCTGGAGGAACGCAGTGGAGAAGTCGAGGGAGTGCAGCTCGTAGTCTCGCTGCGCTGCTATGTGGAGTAACACCCGAAGAGTAGTCATCTTCGGGGTCGGGGCGAAGGTCTGGAAGAAGTCAACTCCCTCACGCTGACTGAAACCCCTAGCCACGTAGCGCGCCTTGAACACCGGCGGTGCTCCAGGCGGTCGCTTCACCTTGAAGAGCCACATGCCATCGACTACGTTCGCCCTGGGAGGGGGAACTGCGTCGACGTAGGTGCCTGTGGATCTCCAAGACGCCAACTCTGAGTCCATAGCCGCTTTCCACTGAGAGGCCCACGCCCCTGACACTGCCTCGCGGTAAGTGCGAGGAGTCGGTATGTCAAGGGCGTCGGGGTCTCCCTCAGGGGAGAGCAGCATGGCACACACAGAGGGAGAAGCGGCTGCCCAGTACTCCAGCTCAGACTCTCTGTCCTCTAGGACGTCACAGCCAAGGGCAAACCCACCCCCGACGGACAGAGGACGGTAGGGAGGAGCTGGCACCACACGGGTGGCGTAGTCAAGGCGGCTGGCGGCAGCAAACTCAGCGACAGCGGCAGTGAGAGCCGAGACAGACGACGGAGGGAAACGAGGGTCGGTGACAAGAGTGGTGAGGACACGTGCGGCAACAGGACGAACATCGCGGTAGTAGTCAGAGATAGGAGTGGGGAGGGCAGGTAGAGAGGACGGAGGAGGAGACGGGAGAACGGACACAGGAGAAGGAGAACGACGACGAGACGAACAAAGGAGGGCAGTGTGGAGGTCAGTAACAGGGGACGAGTGACGAGCACGCGGAGGACAACGAGTGATCAAGTCGCGACGGACAGAGGGAGGAGGAGACTGAGGAGGAGGAGAAGACCAGACCGCCGGACGGTCGTCAGGAGGAGGCAACGGAGGAACAAACACAGGAGGAGACTGGGAGCGGACAGGAGGAGAGGAGGAAAGGCCAAGGGCCCGCAAGCCACTCACAGGTGGGAACAACCGCCGCTCTAGAGGAAGCTGCGGTGGCGGCTGCGGCCGCTGCGGCTGCGGCTGCGGCTGCGGCTGCGGCTGCTGCTGCTGCTGCTGCTGCTGCTGCTGCTGCTGCTGCCGCTGCTGCTCCAGAAGGTCCAGCACCCGCAGCTCCTGCCGCTCCCTCTCCAACCGCTCCTGCTCCTCACGCTCACGCCGACGGGCAGCCTGGAGACGCGTGTCGTGGCGGTGGGGGGGCGGGGTGGACTCCGCAGAACCAGGGTCTCCAGCGTCAGTCTCCTCAGACTCAGCACCCCCAGAACCAGTACCGCCAGTGCTAGGACCTCCAACTCCAGCACCCCCAGAACTAGCACCGCTAGTGCCAGCACCCCCAACTCCAGCACCCCCAGAACCAGCACCTCCAGTGCCGGCACCTCCAGCTCCAGCACCCCCAGAGCTAGCGCCACCTGCGCCAGCACCTCCAGCTCCAGCACCCCCAGAGCTAGCGTCACCTGCGCCAGCACCTCCAGCTCCAGTACCCCGCGACCGAGCACCGCCAGCGGCTGCACCTCCAGCTCCAACACCAACCGAGTCCACAGTAACCTGTCGCGGAAGTGCCGAAGGCTGCTGAGGGGACTGTGAGGAGGACTGCGGGGAGGGAGACGCTACCTGACGCACGACCGAGGGGAGAGGGGTAGCGTGGGACACACCAGACGGGGCAGGACCAGGGGGGGGCGGGGGTACCGGAGGAGCGGGAGCAGGAGGAGGAGAGGGTGCGAGGAAGAGAGGGGGAGGGGGTACCGGGAGACCTCGACAGGGGTACCGGGTGTAGTAGGACAAGGACTCGTCAAACCGGACGTCACGGGAATCTAGGAACTGGTGGAGGGGAGGGTGGTAAAAGGACCAGTCAGCAGAGTCCACTGGGAAACCAAGGAAGACACAGGGGACGGCGCGTGCCGAGAGCTTGTCCGCGGAGGTGTCGCGAACAAGTGCAAGGCAGCCCCAGACTCGAAAGGCCGACCCAACACCAGGGGATCCAGTCCAGAGACTGGTCGGTGAAGCCTCGGGCCGCGAGACACGCGGCTGGAGGTTCAGCTGGTGTGCGGCGTAGCGAACCGCGTGAGGCCACAGAAAATGGGGCGCACGGGCATGAATCATGGACGTGCGGGCGATGTCCATGACCAAGCCTATGCGGCGCTCAGCAACCCCATTCTGCTGTGGGGACTCTGGCAGCGTCCAGGACTGGGTGATGCCCTGTTCGCCGCAGAATCCGCCGAGAATGCCGGAGCGAAACTCGCCCCCACGGTCGGAGTGAAGACAACTGACTCGACGACCACGAGTGCCCTCAGTGGCTAGAAGCCACCTGATCAGCGTAGCAGTCACCTCGGACTTCTTCGCAAGAGGAAACACTGTGGTGTACCTGGAGAAGTCGTCGACGACCACCAGAAAGTAGCGCTCCCTCCCAGACCCCTGCGTCGGGGCAGGGCCCCAGACGTCCAAGTGGAGAGTCTCGAAGGGAGCGGTGGCCGGACGAAGGGAGGAGGAGTGGGGAGTGGCACGTAAGCGACCGGCGACGCACGGAGAGCAAGGAGGGGCAAGCGAGGGAGGGAGCGACGGGAAGGTGCGTGGGAGACCTGTGACTAGTCCCTGACTGAGCATGCCACGAAGGCGAGGGATCGACGGGTGGCCAAGACGGTGGTGCCACAGGACGGTGCGGTGGGCGAGAGAGCGACAGGAGCAAGACGCAGCGACTGGACTGGACACAGCGACCGGACTGGACACAGCCACCTGACCGGACT